ACATTTTTACTGTTTTTCCTAATTATTTTTCTGTTATAATTTCCAACGAGTATAATTATAAGGTAAGAAAGAGAAAATTTAAATTTTTTAAAATTTTTTTTAGATTTTGAGGTCTGAATGGCAAACACGATTTAAAACAACACACAACTGGCTGGCAGCAACAGGTAACTTTATAACTCCACCTTTTCTTTCTTTCTCCATTTCACGCGAATGAACGGTGCAGTGAGAAGCAGAATTTAGGAAGCTGTTTTGGTCGGGTTGTCAGTAGTGAGCATTTCAGCAGTAGAGGTCAAGCAAAACACATCTTTTCCCATAGCAAGAACTTTCCAAGGCTTGTAAAATGGAAAATTGTGGAGACTGTTAAACAATTCTTCTAAAGAATAACGAGAAACTGAAACAATGTCCATGCGGCTGAACTGGAAGACGAATGCAGTTTAAAAGAACTGGAACGCAGTTTAAAACATCTTCCTCAATGGTTTTTAAAAGGTGGAGTCACTGACAGTAATGTGTTTTGTAAGTTATACAACTCAAAAAGCAGCCTTCAAGTTACCTAATTTTGACATTACAGAAATAATTAGTATATACATTTAACAGCTGATGTCTTGGTAGCAAAAATCATCCCATGCAGTATGAACACCCATGGCTACACTAGCATCAATGTGAAATCGTTAAGAAATTTTGATACGAGAAAAGTCCATTTAAAGAGTGGTTTGAATGGAGATAACTTCCAAAACCTGGGGTAATCTCCAATTGTCGGAAAGAAGAGAAGAAATTTAGACACTTAGGTCAAAATAATTAACTGTCCTCTTCTTTTGGCAAGATTCAGTACCTAAGGCCGGGGTGTTTACCCAGAGGTGCTTTCCTTTTACATACTTACGGGTGGGGGGAACCGTTAAAGTGATTTAGGCTGCCAGCACTGGTGTCAGCTTATTGACCAATGCTTGGCTTAGTAATGCCACCTGTTCTGCCTAATTTAATTAAAAAAGAAAAACAAGCAACAGACACACACAACTAAAAGAAAAACTGTCTTTGCATTTCTGACAGATAGATAACTGAAAAAGCAACAACTATATTCCTAGATGAAAATACAGCAAGGGCTGCAAGGCAATCAGACAGTTTAGATCCTTTTTTGTTGCTGGGGACAGACAGCTCAGACTACCGAAGCGGGAATCAGTTGTGGGAGCACTTTGGGTGGCTTGCTTTAAAGGGGGTACGACAACCTTGCTTTACCTGTTCAACCATCAGGACCTTGGGCTTTCCCTGCTCCTGCAATTTCAGCGCACAGGATCCGACACGCACAAAAATCAAGCCACGCAACTCAAGACGAAGCAGAAATACTTGCAAGCGCCTGCCTATTTCCTGCCCTCTAAGTCGAGCCATGATTTTGTGCGGCTTTCGTCATTTTTACGCGGCGCTGTTATTTGTGGCAGTCGTGGTGAGCTTAAAAACGGCGTGCCGTGTCATCTCCCCGCTCCGGCATACAAATAGCGGTGTGTGCTAGCAGGGCTGGCTTCTGCTGCCTTCCCAGGGAAAGGGAGCGGGTCCCTCGCCTGCGCTCCTGAAGCCCGTTGCTTTCTCTGGCCCTTGGCACCGTGGGGAATCCCAAAAGAGCTCTCCTAAAACCACATTTCATCCTAACGCTCGCTCGTCGTTAACAATCTACTTACAAAATCAACATGCAAACGCCCTCACCCCCCAAAATGGGTATTTCCTATATAACGTGACCGTGTTATCATCAGGAATGCAAGTTAAATTTAAATCTTCCTTCCCTAAATGATATTAACCTTCTTTCCAGTCAGCCAGATTTCAAATTGTTTTGTTGTTTATGTTGCTTTCTGTTTCTGAGTGCCTTCATTGTGTTTCCAGGAATAATCGGGTGACAACTAATTACAGT